GGCGTCTGTGTGGTGTAGTGGATAGAGCGTCCGACTGTCAAGCAAGCAGACCCAGGTTCAATCCCCAGGGTTGGACCCAGACATGTCCGGACATGCACCCAGATGTTGTGCCCTTGGGAAAGGCACTTAACACACATTTCTCTCCTCGGTTAGAGGGTTCCTGGGCCCTACTAGGGTCTGGGTTGGCGTTAGGAAGAGCATCCAGCCGTAAAAATCTTGCGGCAAAAAAGACTTGTACTTGGTGCAAGCAGGTCTAACTCCCGGTTGGGGAAAAATGACGTTAAATTCGGTTTTAAAAAAAATCCTACAACCAGCCGCCCAGAGAAGGTTTGTACCTACTACAATACAAGAAATTTAACAACTTTGGAAATTGGCTACTTCTATTCTAGACAATGAATCATCTATTAGGAATATCCACTTCTCTTATGACAAGACGGAGCGAACAAAATATCTGGCAGGTACAAAGCTTCTCTGGGAGGCTGGTTGTAGGATGGCCGGCAAAAATACGCGGTAAAAATTCTACAAAACGCAGTATCAAAACTCCCACCCACCCGTAGGCCTGCACAGGAGACTATATATATGTATAAATGTAACCATGCCTCGCAGGTAGACAGTCCATATTCGTTTGAGACGGATAGACTTCCAAGAAATACAATAATGTTTTCATTAAAACTATACATCTGGATACAACGTAAGATTTTCAAATATTGTATCCAGTTGTATAGTTATAATTAAATTTTATGACACTCCGTATAATTCAATTCAACTTACCAAAAAAATACAATAATGAGATGATTTCACCGTTTTTTTAGTATGGCGATGGGTTTCTATTATGTTTAACAAAATTTAGGTTTAAATAATGTAGTTAATGTTTTAAGTAAATGTTACTTAAGGGTACGTTATGAAGATAGGCTGATCTCAACATCTTAAGGCTAAACGGTACTGAGATTTCAGACCATCAATTATCATTTCTAGTGGTGTTAATGATGGACATATTTTATATGACAGGATGACAGGTCTTGTATCCTGACTAGATCTGTATAAGACTGGCTAGTTTATAACGGCCAGCCATTCAAAGTCCCGGAAAATTAAATAAAATGGCCAGTGGAAAATGGTCTTCTTTCCTAGAACGACATCACTATGGAACAAGCTACCATGTGATTGTTTCCCATATGGGTATAACCTTAAACTTTTCAAGTGAAAGGCCAACAAACATCTGTCCGCACTGCCTAGTATTGTAACCCAAAACATTTGAGTGGCTCTTATGAGCCTTGTTTTGTGGTGTATATGAAATTTAAAAAAATGTGTCCCAGAAGAGACCCAGAAATATGTATATTTGCGATTCCTATTGAAAGTACAAATGTACATATGTAAAATGTAATGTTCTTTTTGCCCAGTAGTTGTTTTTCCTGTTACAGTCTAAGAATCATTGCCTTTAGCACTTTAGCTTTAGTATGCTTTTTATTTAGGCTCTTAGTGCCTCAAAATTAACATTTTTTGGCCTATTGCCCGAGCATTGTCCCGCAAATAAATTTCCATTGTCCGAAAATTAAGGATGAACGGTCCCAACCTGTATGTATGACAACAACTTGAAGTCAACTTTATTTTGCTTATGTTCTGACTCACAGGCCCACTATAATTGCAGAGTACACAAGAAATTTGGGGGGCTTTTCCGGAGCCAAAAGCCAGGACGCGTGCTTGATCAACGAAGGAAAGCTTGACATATTTTTCTATTGTCCCAAAATACCCCCAAGTTACTGCCCAGTTGTCCCGGCCTAAATTTTAGAGGTCAGTGGCCATCGGGACACCGTTAATTTCGAGACTGTCTGTCCCTTCCCTCTCAAAACGACCGAGAGAACGTATTGAAGCTAAGAAGGCTGATATCTCGGCGAAATGCTCTAAAATAAGAGGCATGTATCTTCCTGATAGATAGAGAGAGAGCACGATAAGCGTATTAGGATGGTGATGAACCTATTTCACATTTCCTCCACTCTGATTGCTAGATATAGATCTCAATCCAGCTACACTCAAGTTTCTTTGAAAACCTGTAATTGATGCACTTACCGGGCAGCGGATGTCTTCCCAATCAACATTTATGTCGCTCTATCGCTACACAGAAGATCTAAAATGGCCTCTTATATCAAATTAAGACACTTTGCAAAGAAGGTTATTTTGGGGAAGCGTTTCTAAAGATCTCTGCTGTTTTGAAGCTTAAATCAAGAAGGCTTTTTATGAAATTTTGTATGAAGTAGGATCTTGATCTGTCAAAGATATGGTTATAAAAGAGGGAAATTATGACCTAGATTAGAATGTATTCTATAGTAGTCCATACTAAGACTTTAACGTTATTCTTTTATACTTCTATCCTATTATATATATGTACTTTTAGTGTGATATACATGTAACAATATACTCCTATGTATGCATATAGCCCCATGGGCATGAACATGAAAATAAAGATTCAATTATATTCTCCCCCCTCTGGCGGCTTTTATGGTACTGCAGCGGGAATTTTAATTCCGCAAGCAACAACGCTATACTACTAGTAAGTAACTACCACGTTAGACAGACACGCCTGCCACGGTATGAAACGTAATATTTTTTATATGATGAATAGGAAACAGAACGGATTCCTGTTTTGCAGAATATTAACTTGCTAATAGATGGACGTGCCTTGCCCCCCAGGCGGCTATCCATTGTACTGCAGCGGAAGTTTTAATGGTTAAGTTACATAAGCAACCCCATTATTATAACCGCCATGTTAGACACTCCTGCCACGACATGATACGGAAGATATTTTTATATGTTTGATAGGAACCAAAACGGATTCTTGTTTTGCAGGATATTAACGTGGTATACCCCCCAGGCGGATTTTCATTGTACTGCAGTGGAAGTTTTAATAGTTAAGTTACATAAGCAACCCCGCCATGTTAGACACTTCTGCCACGACATGATACAGAAGATATTTTCATATGATGAATAGGAAACAGGACGGATTCTTGTTTTGCAGGATATTAACTTGGTATGCCCCCCAGGCGACTATCCATTGTACTGCAGCGGAGGTTTTAATGGTTAAGTTACATAAAAACCCCCGGTATTATAACCGCCATGTTAGACACTTCTGCCACGACATGATACGGAATATATTTTATACGTTTGATAGGAAACAGAACGGGTTCTTGTTTTACAGGATATTAACGTGGCATGCCCCCCCCAGGCGGCTTTTCATTGTACTGCAGCGGAAGTTTTAATGGTTTAGTTACATAAGCAACCCCATTATTATAACCGCCATGTTAGACACTCCTGCCACGACATGATACGGAAGATATTTTTATATGATGAATAGGAAACAACGGATTCTTGTTTTGCAGGATATTAACGAGGCATGCCCCCCCCCAGGCGCCTTTTCATCGTACTGCAGCGGAAGTTTTAATAGTTTAATTCCGTAAGAAACCCCGTTATTGTAACCGCCATGTTAGACACTCCTGCCACGACATGATACGGAAGATATTTTCATATGATGAATAGGAAATAGCACGGATTCTTGTTTTGCAGGATATTAACGTGGTATGCCCCCTACCCCATGCGGATTTTCATTGTACTGCAGCGGACATTTTAATGGTTTAGTTACATAAGCAACCCCGTTATATAACCGCCATGTTAGACACTACATGATACGGAAGATATTTTCATATGATGAATAGGAAATAGCACGGATTCTTGTTTTGCAGGATATTAACGTGGTGTGCCACCCAGGCGGCTTTTCATTGTACTGCAGCGGAAGTTTTAATGGTTTAGTTACATAAGCAACCTCGGTATTATAACCGCCATGTAAGACACTACTGCCACGACATGATACAGAAGATATTTTCATATGATGAATAGGAAACAGAAGGGATTCTTGTTTTGCAGGATATTAGTTTGCTAATAGATATATGTGCCATGCTGTGTTGAGTGGTTCTTCGTGCAGGGTTACGCCTGGCATGGAGGCGGTGTGTTATGAAGAAGATGTTGTGTCAAGCTGTTGTGAAGCGATACTTTTTTTTGGCCAAGTGAAATGTAGTGTTGTTTAGCGTAGTGCGGAATATATTGTATATTGTAGTATAGTGTAGTGCAGTGTAGTGTAGTGCAGTGCAGTGCAGTGTAATGTAGTGTAGTGTAGTGCAGTGTAGTGCAGTGCAGTGCAGTGTAGTCTAGTGCAGTGTAGTGTAGTGTAGTCGCATGCTGGTGTGTTTTTGGGTCCCTTTGCAATGAGTGTCACTTGGAACATACGGTAATATTTGTGTGTACATGTTTTTAACAGGTACGCTTTTGGCCCAGTGAAGTGTTGTTTTCTGTAGCGAAGTGTAGTGTATCGTAGTGTAGTGTAGTGTAGTGTAGTGCAATGTAGTGTAGTGTAGTCCTTTTGCTAGCCAGTGCAATGTATAGTTGTACATGTGTCGCTTTGGGACGAATATTCGGTTATGTTGTGAAGGCAAGCGATACGTTTTTGACACAGTGACGTGTAGTGTATTTCGACGTAGTGTAGTGCTGGCTTGATGTGTCGTGTCATGTATAGTAGTGCAGTGTAGTGTAGTGGTCAATATTGTGTAGTGAGCGTTGTGGCGCACACCTATATAGTTGTGTTGGCCCACTCTAGAATACTGAAGTAAGTGTCACGTATCATGAATTTTTTGGTGTTGATGTGCTCTGCTGTCAATGTTGCATCATTGAATATTCTATGTCTGAGCCAGACGCCATATGAGAGCTATACAGACACACATACACCATTCAACACCTCATAAAATAGTAATACACTATCACGCCAGTATGGCTAGCGAAGCGGAACCTAATCATTGAACTTATTGTATCTTCATAGGCCTCATGATCACCATATAATTATACCACCAACACAATGTAATTCGCAAGGCCAGCGGTTATTACAGAACATCCCATTCAATAAGCCACTTGGCCCAGAATCGCTGGACAGAAATAGAATATAGCGAGATAGGATTATTTACCGTCACGACGCCACGTACATGCACATAGGTGAAGCCCATCACCCTCAGACACCTAGGCGGCGAACGGCAACTTTCCTCGGTGTGGGGTGCTCCTTCCGCCGCTGGATGTGGATGTATCTTCGATGGGTGACCTTAGTACGAGGGGATAGACGGCATGGCGGGGTAGGAGGAGTGCTAGCGGGCGGGATGCGAGTATCAGTCGGGGAGAAGATGAGATGGCGGCCGGCTGACGGTCGTTCGCATTGCGGTAGGAAACGTCAGCTCGAGTGACGCATGACTGTTGCCAGTCTGGTAACCCGGGACAACACGGTGATAAAAATGCCAGCCCGCGTGCGCATGACTGTTGGTGGCAAGCCGAGGAAAGTTCATGCCTCCTTTGAAGGCGTTTCGGGATCGGTTGTTTTTTGTTTTTGTTTGTATCTTTGTTTTTGAGAGGGGTGCTTATTTTACGAAAACTATACATTTTCCTAGCCTTCTTTGCAGGCGTTCCAGGATCGGTCGTCTTAAAGTTTAATTTCTTCATATTTTTTATTTTTTAT